AGTGCTGTGCCCGCCGATCCATAGACCACCGACGAGCCAACCCGAGGATGTGGACGGCGACGCGCACGACGGCGAACGCGTCGAGGGAAACGACGCCGCTGATCGCCGCTCGATCCCGGCCGAACGGACACGACCGGATCACCGCCCGGCCGAACGACCGCTAGACCGCCGTGCGATCATCCTCGGGATCGGAATCCACAGGTACCTCGAGTGGCGTCCCCGTTCAGCCGTCGTCCAGCGTCAACTACGCCCATCGAGACGCACCGGAGACCAACGGACCCAGCGTCCGCTCTCTTCCCGTGGACTGAATAACCGTGATCGATCCCGGACCGCGTGTGAAACTCTATCCCCCCACCCCTCGCTAGCCGGAGAGTGTAATCGAGCGGATTCAACGATTGACTCGGCCGATGGGATACCACGAATAAAGGCACGGCGAGCCGTGATCGAGTGACCGAGTGTTATGAATAAGAGAATAAACCCCGGCGATCGATCGAAATCTCGGATGTCGGGAGCACGCCGGACCGACCTACCAGTGGATTAAACGGTGCACGGAGCTCCTGGGTGGACGCTCGAATTTCCTAACGATCGAGATTGCTTCCGGTATTTGGCGACCGATTAAACCGAGATTCTCCGGTGGGGTCTGAGTTGATAGTTCGATCGTGTCGTTTCGAGGAGAGGCGCACGAGGCGGCCGGTTCGGAGGTTCTTTTCAGTGTTGAACGATTACGGGCCGAATAGTCGTAATAAACCGGTGGTGGCGGCACAATGCCAGGTGGTTTCGATTGAATAGAGTGTCGAGCGAGCGTTTTTTGATCTCGTTGCAAAATATTGAATCGATCTGCCGCCGGTGAATGGCGGGGCTTAGGACGACTTCCGTGTATTCTATGGTCGGGTCACGGTGCTGGGGATCATCCCCCTGACGTACACTGTGGGGAGCCGGATAGAGATAGAGACGGGCGTATATATATACACGGACGCGTATAGAAATCAGAAGAGAGAGAGAGAGAGAGGGAGGAGGACACTCGATATACACGCCGATCTTGCGCAGAATATGGGAAAGGCACGAGGAGCACTCGGCGACGAGCGCGTGACACCATGAGGAAATTCTCGGGCGAATCGACGTCGGTTCCGGATTACGCTCTGATCCGGTGGATCGCTCGGTGCCGGGGAACGCGGCGCGCCCAGTGAACAAGCAAGCGCGTCGCGGCTCGCGCGGACGATCCGCTTGATCCTCGGAGTCACGCCAGCCGCGGGGATCGTCCACGGGGAAAACTGTGCGGAGTCATGGGCGAACGGTCCAACGTGGCGGAACACGTCGCGCCGGTGAACGGTGAGTAACGATCGGCCGGGCCCTTGATCGGTATGGGAATGCGCGTCGGCTGTCTTCGTGACCGCGAGCCTCTCTTGACCGAGAAATGCCTCGCCGTGTCAAGGGTGTAGCCACGCGAGATTTGAATTGCTAAGCAAACCTTAATCGTCCGTTAATTAAAACGCCGATTCGACCGGCTGACGAGGGAAGACGGTTCGCGGATCGAAGAGTTGGGGAGTTCCTCGCGATGGGTGAATTGCCGTTGATTTCGGGGGATCCGGAGTTTTATTCGGGGTTTCTTTGGTTTGCAAGAGATTGATTTGAGATGCGACCGACACGTGGTGGTTATTGGGTTTGATGTTTGCGGGTATTTCTGGGAAGGGATGCACTTTGGATGCACTGAATCCAAAGGAATTGAAAAAAGCAAATGAAAAGGATGCTGTTAATCGTTTTCTTATTGACTATTGAAAGAGATGGAATACGGAACTTCGACATTGTATTTAAAATTTGGTATATGAATATAAGACTACTAGTACTAATGAACAAGAACTTCTCTGGAACCTCGTATTTTCATTCCAATAAACTTTTATACACTCCGAACCGTGCTCACGCGAGATCCGTTTAAAAGAAATATAAAAAAGAATTTTCAGAAACATCCAGAGATTCGTCGGAATATTTACGACCTCCAGTATCAAATTTACAGTATTCCCAATATTTACAGTTTCACGGGATTTAATATATTTCCGATATTTACAGTTCCCGATAGGGAAGTTTTCATGCAGATCCCCGATTAGAGCGGAGATAAATTCTATCAGCGGGCAAGAATGTTCGCCGGGTATTAATTCGCGACAATTCGCGGCTGACAATTCTATCGAGTGGGTTGACGTATTTCGAGATTATCGGTCGTCCCATTTCTCTCGCGCGGCCCCGAAAATCGCGGGCGCACCGTCGGGGAGACGGAGATAGGAGCCCGCCTACGTGCGCGCGCGGGAGAGGGTTAAACTTGCTTAACGATGAGCCCGAACAAGTTACTCGGCCCCGCTATAATTTCCGTCGTGTCAACACTGTTCGGGGCACGGTTACGGAGATAAAGTCGGATAGCGTGCGTAAAGTAGCAGATATTCGTAATCTCGCGGGTCAAGAACGTTTTGAATTAACGCCCGTTCCGGCGGCCGCGCGAGAAACAGGATAAGCCGCAAGAATAATGACCGTCGAATTTCGTGCTGTCGACCTTATTACGGGCCCGCTCCACTGCCGGCCGTAATGCGTGCTTTTACTACTTAACGCGACGCACGGTATCGTTACATCAGAATGATTACCGCACGGGCGCGGGTAACGTGCCCTTTCAGATTATATTGAATTACTCCCGGCGAATCTGAGCACGCATTAATATCCGGTGGACGGAAGCTCGGCTCCGGTTTTTGCGAGGCGGGGGTGCACTGACCGTATGCAATTTGTAACTTCTTACTGCAGCGCGAAGACGAGGGGGAAAATGAATGAAGACAGGACGGTTTGTTTCGAGCGTGCATACGTACGAGAAAATAAGCTTAGGATGTACAGTGAATATTTTTCGTTTATTAGTTCTCGGCTTTCGTTCTGTCATCGTGAGTTACTTTTTGTTGTTCTTTAATTGAACCAGGTTTAGTGCATTGTTTCAAATGATTATGTTGTATGCGAGAAGAATGTATTTTTGCGGTTACATCGTTCGTAAACGTTTATTCTCCCAATGGTAGGGAATACGTTGGTAAGTTTGCAGTAGCTCGGTAAATAAGTATCGGTAATCCGACCCAAAACGGCGAGAAATTAGAAAATCCGGCACGGTGTTTACGGATTTACACCGTTCGACCGGCAAAGCTTTGTTTTCGCTAAATTTAATGCAGTACGTGTAACCTGTTGCACTCGCTGTCATTGCGTCCCACCCAGTGTCTTAGAAAAGAAATTGATAGCGGCTCACCTCGGCCATTTAAACACGGTAAATCAGAAATCTCAACAGATTTTTCTTCCTAACACGCGCGTCGATATTTAAACGGAATCCTCGGCCGAAGCATTCTTGAAATGTCTATTCGACTGGAAAAACGTACGAGAAGCTTCGTTTCACGGTAATTCGCTTGTTAATCGACCGGAATTAATTACGAAATTATTTGCCCAATTAATCAGAGTTGTCTCTAGATACGTATCGGTCTATCTAGCGGGTAATACACGGTGGTCGCGCAGGTAAGCTGCGAGGGCGATCAATCTTGCGGGTCGCGATTTCATTTCTTCCGGCGCAGAGACCGTCTGGCCACGGGATGAATTGCATATTGTGTGACCCCGGTTCCGGTAGGAATACCGGAAAACGCTTTCCCCCGCGTTCACTCAAAGAATTATGATGCGTTTACACCAATCGAACGGATACTCGGTCGCCTACGGCTCCGACGAAAGTAGAGTACACAGCGTCGCGATTGAATTTATTAACCGTTTGGATGCTAAACAACTTCTGTGGATATTTACCAAAATGCGGAAGCGATTGGGTGTGTATACAAAATAATTAATAAGAGTACTCATCTAATGAGATCAGAAATATTACTATATTCTTAAAAAAATAACAAAAAGTAACATTCATTTAAATAAATTTACTTTGATTTATTTTCTGAAGAATATAGTCAGAAAATTGTAATTGATTTTGACACAACACAAGAGCGCTATAGCGCTCCTCAGCACTTAAATGGTTAATACTAGATCATATCGCATACCGGTCGTGTGACCGGTTTTAACACTTTGCACTCCAAAAGCGCCTCTCAGTCGCCAATTGATTTGACACAGAAACATTGAAAAGTTTGATATTTAATATTAAACTTTCTCTAATGCATTAATACATGAAACATCGAAATAAAATGTTATAGTTTCATTTATGAATTTATGTTCGATTTTTCGTGAAGTTCAGAAAATGTTTGTTTCATTACACAACGTCGAGTATTTCCAGTGAAATACTTTTCCAATGCAAAGGGTTAATGTTTCATTTAAAATTCTGTGATCCTTTTCGTTCATTTAAGTTCATGTCAATTCCTATATCATCCGATTCATCAGTTTTCCCGAAAAAAATGGTGACTCGGTTAATTGAGGTCCTATTTATGGCCGTGAATTGTTAATAGATCCTATTTGGATTGAGGTCCTGCAGATAGAAAGAACGCATCTGAAAACAATACAGATATAATTGGTCACAGTGGAATGATTCCTCTTCTCGTAACATTTTTTGTGCAGCGAAATATCATCTTTGCCTCTGTGCCATGTAATTCAACAGAATATTCGTTCATTTTTAGCGAATGATTTACCGAATATTCAAAAAGAACTCGGTCGAGTTTCGTAATCAACGAATATAGAATACAGACTATGAAATATTTCTTTTGCTTTGAACAACACGAACGTTCAAAATTCATCATGGTACATATATAACCGAACGAATGTCGTTCATCCCACTCCACTTAAACTCTTGCTGGGTTAGACATGAAAAATTCAGAAAAAATTTGAATTGAATATTTGACGAAGCTTTGACGAATAATGGCTGCATGTATGAAGTCTCATTTGTCTTGAATTTTTTGAGCGGGAACCGGACGAGAATTCGTTTTTTATACGTCTAACGGCCCCTCTCGTTCTATATGAAAGTAAATCATCGTACAAAGTTATGTTTCGTGTAGATATTTTATTACCTTGCTAACCAGAAATTATTTCTTTAAACTTCAATGTATTTAATCTAAGAAATGCAATTGCTTTTATAAATACCTATATTTCCTTCAGATAGAAACCAATACCGTGCAAACACGATTTAAATCATTAATTTGAGACCGTTCAGCAAGATGTTCATACTGTACCATCAGGCTTTGCGTTAGTGCATTTATTGTAAAGTCAAACAAAGTAATGTTTCCTTCTCTGTAAAGTTTCCTTAATCCATGAGCCATGACATAACATAGTTTTAATGTAATAAATATTTTTAATAAATAAAAAGCAGATATAATAAGACAAAATTAATTTTCACTAAGTGATTTCTTAAAACATCTAGTATTTGATATATTTCGTACCCTGGAAGCACCAAGTGCTTAAGTGTTAACCTTTCTTCTCACTTTGATATTATTTCATTCAATTACAGCGTATCACGATCTAATTGTTTATCCAAGAATACCTGGAAATCACTGAAATTATACCTTTAAACGATACAATTGTGATATTACAAATAAATACAGAAAAAATTGTTAAAGTAGACGTTGGCATAAAATCGAAGTCTAATTTGACATAGCACTCCTATTACACGGAAAGTCAACTTCTATTGTAAACACATCATAACATTTTCCACGATTTTCGCACGTGCAGCAGAGAGGTCCCGAGAAACAGACTCCACGAACTAATGAGAGGCGAGTGACGGATGGTTGCTGCGATTGAAAACCGAGCGAATTCAGTGAACCACGTCCGAACGGATTCCTGGCCGATTCTGGAAATCCTGGTCGAACATTCGACGCATCCAGCGTGTCGCACAAGGAACATTTTCAACGAGCCTCGATGATACTTGCGGTGGACTATTGCTCGAATTGTTCGATGCTTAGAGGTTAACTTTTATTTCCTGCTCGTATCTTTCGTTCCTTCTTTTCGAGTGTCTCGCGACGCTCATAATTTCCATTCCACACTCGTGTCGTCTTGGCGCGCTTGTTTGCAATATATTCTGTGGCTGCCGACATATTTTCACGACGCTCGGAAATTTCGAGGACTTTATGCGCCGCGGGTTTTCCTTTCCACTGATTTCCTCGCTCGTTTCACCTGTGCGCCTCGTCTGTGTGTTTTAATATTCCTCGCGCGGCGTGAAATGTTTTAAATTGCGCGCCGGAACCGATACATCCCTGCAGTTTCGTGTGTTCCGGAAATTACAGGGGCGCGCCGGTGCTTTACGATCGGAGTTGTTCGTAGATTTTTTGGGAAACTGCACCGCGAGATAATTCTTCCTCCAGCTTGAATCTCCACCGGAATTTTCATTGAAATGAACGTTGTGCGAGTTCATTTGATCGACAATCGAACACTGCGTTAATTTCTTTCAATAACCGTCGCAATTAACCCCTCGCCCTATGATTTCTTTGCAAACTGTGATCGATCTGACTACTCTGTTCTTAATAAGTTATTGAAAATGGGAGGAAATTTCAGTCTTTTCCTATGTCAACGTGTCCTCTGAGGTATAATATATAATTTGCATTCAAACAAACTAAATAATATTTATGTTTGTTCAATGCCACTTGAAATCTTCACGAGTCTGACACGATACTGTAGGACAAGGGGTTAAATAGTGACTAATATTGTCGAATGTTCAAAGTAAAGCAATAGAGAAACGTGAGTCGACCGAAAAAAATACCCTTCCCCGTAACATTCGCTACAATCAGAGATGAAACACGTTCCACTTTTATATACTAGCGAAATCTATCTGAACCCGATGCGTTTCACATGCACAGTATGATAAAAATTCGATGAAATACCAGTCGCGAGTGCAATAACAGTTTACAACGCGGCGCTGCGAGGGAAAGGTGAAAACTGCATGTGGACGAATTAATCGTGTTCGGTTGGTTGGATGAACGTTTCATGCGCGCAACTTTTCGACGGGGTTGCGTACGGTCGTCGCGCTATCGCGTATCGAAATGTTCACCACTGTTGTCGGCCGAGAGATTTTAATCCGTCGCAGAGATCGGAGAATGAGAGGCGCCTGTGAATCGACGCGACCGACGGAAAATTTACAGTGCATTAGTCAACGCGCGGTTTCGCGATCGTCCGGCACTGCCGGGAAAAGAAGGAGCGAAACTCGGGAGGGGGGAAACGTTAGTGGCTCGTGTCCTTTTGGTTTGCATACGTGCGGGGAATAATGCATGTAACGGAATGTGCATCGCGCGGAAAGACAGAGAAAGGGGGCGCGGGCGGGCGCGCCGGGGCCGCCATTCGAGAACGAAATTTCAACACCGCATTCTTCACTCGTAGTATTATAACGTTAGTTTGCATATTTACATATTCAGATATCAGAGCGCAGCCGGCCGGTGCTCGCGAAAGAACGGCGCTCGATGGGGACGCATGTCATTCCGACGCAATTAATTATAAACATCGCGAAATGTCGCCGGTGATTACGAGCTATGGCGAGCGTCGGTACAATAATTCTCTCGAAATTGTTGGGCCCGCGACGAATGCCGAAGGATGAAATGTTCGGAGCCGTGTTTGTTAATTAAAAATAACAAAGTTCCGGTCAAATGGTTCATTTATCGACGTTATCGCCGCGCGCTGCGCGAGCGTGACGACTGACGAGGGAAATGATGGTTAACACGGAATAAAAAAGTTACCGGTTCCAAAGCCAGTTGTTATCGGATCGATCATTGTCGATGACAAAGGATTTCTTTGTTGTTTGCCGTTGGAATTAATTATAAAAGAATATATTGATGTGTTTGCTGATATATTTGTTATACACGAATACTAAAGTTCGACGAAATATTTCCTTCACGCGTCAAGCCCGGATATCCGCTGTTAATAAAGCAAATACGCGGATAAACAAATATGTTGAAACGAGGGACACACGGGGCGACATTTAGAAATACCCCGCCGGAAATCCGATAAAATATTTCGCATCGCGAAACTTGTTTTAAACGATGTCGCCCCGGCCGGTGACATTTAGCAGTAACGTTCGAAGCGGCGGCGGTTTTCCCCCTAGAAAATTTTTCTTAGCGGGACCGAACGCTGAGTCGGTGGGAACGATGCGTGCGGAATAGCGGGGAGATGTAAAAGAAAAAAGAAAAAACGAGGTAAAAGGAGGAGGGAAAATAATCGGAGCCAGTAACGCGGTGTCTCGCTTCGCGTCCGACGGTCTTCCGGCTTTCCCGGCGACGTTCCACGTAAATATTGCATCAGTTACGCTGTCAAAATTGAGCACCGTTCATTACTCCGTAATGCGGCTCATATTTTACGCGTCGTTGCGCGATGTGACAGCAGCTTTGAGCTATTTATCAGCGGCTACCATCGGCTCTCGTGAGCACATCCTATACAGGATGCTCTGGAATGTTGAAGGCTGAAACTTGTGTACCGCTGTATCGCGAGCCGGGGAGGTCAAGAAAGCATGAATTCGAATCGTTTGAGGTTCAACATGATTCCACGACATTATCTGCCCTTGATCTCTTCAGCCTTGTAGGATATTCTTTCGAGGAACACGTCAAACCGAGCTAATTTAACGAGGTCGTTAAAAGTAAATATTCCATTAAATTCGTGTTAGATAAAAATAATATCACACGCAACGAAGGAATAAATCTATGCGCAGCGACCTAAAGGTTCACTTCGGCATCGATTTTATTATAATCAATGTGTATCTTTCTGTCGGTAAATTTGAAAAGCAAACATTCAAAAATAACAATATCCCCAACGATCGATCCTCGTGTAAAAACGAAGAATTACTTTGAAAATATGTCGAGCCACTTAACAAATGAAATACGGCCGAGTCGTTGAATGTGTCAGGCTCACGGTGTAACGCGATCTAAAAAATCCCCGGCCACCCGGTATACGCGCACACGTTCCGCCCCCCTGTCAAGGTGCTTGGAAGTTTAAAAGTGGCGTACTCCGGTGGCTCTCGTTTTACCTCATTTTCCTAACGCTTTCGAGTGCCATTACGCTCATATATCCCGCGAAATTCGCAGCCGGCGACACCTTCCGCCGTGGAAATTTATAGTTCGAAAGATACCGGGCAACGATACACTTGAGCCGGCCGGCTAAGTGTATGTAGAACAGGGAAATCGGCGGGAATGGATGACCCAGTGGGATAAGGAGATGATTTCTGCCCTTAAGAGGGTTCCGTAAGGATGATGCTCCCCGCAAGAGCGACCCGGAATCTCTTCTCTCCTCTGTTCGGCGCGGAGTGTCTGCGCCGGAAGCCCGAGAGAAAGACGGTAATGCCTGTCCATCTGTCAATCCACCCCTCCAGCGTGCGTGTCTTCGATCCTTTTACCGCCGGGAAGACCGAACCCGCTGGAGCCTTCGAACCAGCCGGTTTAGAACAGCCCTGAGCTTCCTTTTAATTCTGAGATTGCGGGACGACATTCATCTCCATGATTCATTGGTCCTCCTTGGGTTCGGTTTGGCGGGTCGGAAAATTTTTAAGTAACGCTCCCTTGAAAAACGTTTGATACGCCAATGAATAATTTAACGTTCGCCGGATTCTCGATTTAACACTAGCAGTAGTGAAGGCGATTGGATTATATTTTCTGCAGTGAATTCCGAGGATTGGATTTTTGGGGGTTTTATATGGAAGGACATTTGCGTCACTTGTTGAATATTAGTTATATTTTTTTTATGTTTTCCGTGTTTCATATTTGGAGATATGTTGCTTTCCCTCGTTGCACGTGCGACTGTATGAAAGGTCATTAAATTGTCCCGAATGTCTGGCTCAATGGAATACTCGACAATGAATCGGTTTCATGTATTCCTTCCATTAGATTCATTTACTAGAATGATTCATTTGCATTTCATTGCATTATCGATGCCCACATGAATGCACAAAGGTACTCCAATTATGCTTAAATATCCTGTTAACAATTCCAAACCATATCCTGATCTCCATGCACCACGGGAAAACCAAGTGCTACCAACCTGCAGCCTTTTCGCTTGTGTGCTCAAGCACTCTCCGAACGAAATGGAGCGAACCCACAATTCTATTCCAACGGTAACACCAAAGGAAATGTGGAATGCCCGGAACTGCTCCCCATTGTTTCGCAATAATTACACGCACAAAAATTTGAGATACGTGGAATCAGGGTTCAACTTACGAGTTGTTCTCTGTTAACAGAAAGCTACAAAAACAACAATGTGTCTTCATATAATATTCCTTTCACCATTCAATTTCCTAGCGCAGGCAAGAAGCAGCGTTAAACAATGTTACCATTCAAGACTTTCCTTAATTATAGCATTCATTGTACGCCCATAGCATTCTCCACAATTCTTTTGAATAATTTTGTAAAAGCACCTCCTACGAAAGCTTCTTTCACTACTTACCCTCCTCCACGTATAATAATTGCATCCAACCTTATTGTACGAAAAACAGTACTACCAACACAATCGCTTAACAAACCAAGATTTCATTAAACCAAGAACACGAACTTAAGCAACTCTCGGCGGAATCTCTTTCAATGCTCAACAATAATTAAATAATCCCGAGGCACAATCGCTCTCCGCAAGATTCCCTCATCAAATCGAATTAAGATACAAACGAACGGAATCGAATTACCGAGTTCCACGGTCGTCGGTCGTTACGCTTTGGTTGGCCGGCATCCGGTCGCTCGGCTGAGGAAGACGCAGGCCGCGGCGCAACAATCGCACTGACCGCGTACCTTTTTCCCATTACAGAGATTCTCGGCGGCGGATTTCAATGATACGCGCCTAAGCCAGGGGCGGCGTTCGGCGCGAGACCGGCGGGAGGGCGGACCGGACGCAGCACCTCGTTTCCCGCGTGCACGGAGGATCGAGCGGTTTTATCGCGGTGAACGCTGCGGGGGCGAAGGGGGCGGCCAATCCCTCGCAGCCGGGGCAGATAACGGCCACGAGGATGCCAGACAAAATCGAAGAGACGGCTCTCCAGGCAGGACGCCGCTCGAGGATCTCGTAATTGGCCAGCAGTCGCGCAGGATCCGAAGCCAACGATCGAGAATGGAGGCGAGGGGCAGCGTGTTCCGGCTGGGATCCCTCGTGATAGACGACGGGAACGCGTCCGCGTTGGAGCCGAGGCATCCGGACGAACTGTTCGACGTGACCGTCGGAAATGCCGACGCCGGTGTCCTGTCGAGGAGCGACGGGGACGCGTCGAGCAGCGGCGTCGAGCTGGCCTGGTACAACGACACGACAACGGTCGGCTCGACGTTCAGCGACACGTGGTACGGCGACACCTCGCCGTCGTCGTCGTCGTCGTCGTCCTCGTCGTCGTCCTCCTTCTCGTCGACGACCCTTGCCAGCGACAATTTCACCGGCATATCCGACCTGTTCGTCTTCGAGGACCTGAACGACTACTTCAACCAGCTGAACGCGTTCGTGAACCTGACCTACGCGGGCGGAGCTGGGAACCTGAGTTTTAACGGGAGCCTGAATTGCACCTCGTCGATCGTCGCGGGCACCGCGGCCGGCGTCGTCACGGTCGGCGAGTGCGGCCCGGCCGCGGACGACGAGAAAACGGAAGCGAACAGCTGGTGGGCGCTAATCCTGGTGATCGTGCCGTGTTTGACGCTGTTCGGTAATGTTCTCGTCATTCTCGCGGTGGTGCGGGAGAGGGCGCTGCAGACCGTCACCAATTACTTTATCGTCAGCCTGGCTGTCGCCGATCTGCTCGTCGCTGCGCTCGTCATGCCGTTTGCTGTGTACTTTCTGGTGAGTCCGAGTTGCTCATGGTTTCTGTTGTGGTATGCTTGGATGGAGTCTCGTTGTCTTTTTGGAACTTTTTAGTGTACCTGTGGATTTAGGCTGAACGATTCGGCTTTTAATAGTCGTAAGACTATTTCAGATTTGTTTGTATGCTTTTTTTAATTACCGTGGGGATGGCGAGACGATATCGTGAAATGTAGTTTACATTTGGCTAAGACACTGTTAAGCCCTTGCAGTCGAAAGATGTTTTTCCACGTGTGTTCATTAGTTTATAATGAAATATTGATTAAATTATTGATCTTATTGAATAAAGATAGTACAGGAATTAGTGCATGGAACTATTTTATTTCAATATTTCATGTTTAATCATCGCAAACGGTTAAACAGTGGACTGGAACGTCTGATCAGTGCTTGCCATTTCTACTTGCACGTGTATTAAGTATCTGATATATATCTTAACGCAAATTCGGAAAGCCTTCCTTTAATAGACTCAACATAGAATTACACCACCGATTAGTGAAATCTATATAAAATTCAAGATTTCAATAATCAATCAGAATATTCAACTAATTCATCTAACGATTCATAGAACCTTGTCTTAACATTGGAACTACCGCGGATTTAAAGCGATTGATATGTAATCCCTCTAAAAATTGTAACAATAAATTATTTTCGGTTTCTTCGAACATTCATTACAGTATTCAAGTGAAGCTATTTATTTTCAAGGTCCTTTCAGATATTCAATGCTTTCAAGATACCAATAATTCCGAAACAAAACAATCGAAACCAGTCGTTTCGACTGGTACGGTAGTTCCAGTGTTAATTTCCCACAAGTCCCATCATTGCAAAGTCACTCAGAATACCTAGATCGTGGAACGAAGGCGGGGAATGTCTTACGACCGCGACGATTCGCATCCGTCGCGCGTATCAGCTCCACGATAATTCTTGTTTCGCGCGCGAAGGCTCGGCGGCGTTTAACCGCGAACGTTTTCGACGCTGCCGCGCACGGCGGAACGTTTCGCGGTTAATTGCAATCCTCTTGTCCCGATAAAAAGCATAGTTGTCGGCCGCTATCTTGCCGCGGTTAATGAAACCCTGTATCCAGATACAAACTTCTTTGGAATTTCGCTGGCTGGCGGGGTTCCGCGCGAGTAATTAAAAGCTGGTATTACTCGCGAGCTCGATTCCCGCGCCGGTCTCCGACTTTCTCCGGGCATGGTTTAATTATGGTTAATTTAAGACCGGCTCATATTTATTATCCTAGGAATCGATAAGCTTTCGCGAGTTGGTAGGCAGTTTCTGTATCTCTTCGTTTTACCCCTGTCTCTCTCTCTCTCTCTATCGTTCTGTCTCTTTATCTTCCTTTTTCCCTCTACCTTTTCCTCTGTCCCTCGTTTCTCTCTTTCTCTCCGCCGTTCCGCCTCTCCCTCTACTTTTTTCTTTTCCCATCCATCCCTCTCCGGCTTTCTCTCTTTCTCCCCATCTCTTTGCTCCCTTTTCCACAACGTCCGATCCGGAAATTCAATTACGCCGCCGATACGATTAAAAGTGCGCGGAAGACGATTCGAGCAGAAACCGGTGAAACATCCAGGGACTCGAGCCAGGGGAAGCTGGCGATTGTTCACCCGGTCGGTTTCCGAGCAAACTACAACCTCGTTCGATCCCGGTGATCCTGGTAGAACCGGATATGTGTACCGAGCGAAAACAGGATTAGTTAATGAAAGCAATTTGAGTAATTCTTCGAGTGACGGACACCGTTCCCGCGATACCGCGCGACCCACTTGCGTTCCGGGACGTTCATGACCGGCTTCCTGGCGCGACGCAGCCACTGTCAAACGAGTACGCTCTCTTTTCACCCTGTAACCGGCGTTTATTTATTTACCGTCCATTCCTGGCGCCGGTAAATATTGGATCTCGATTCACCGTTGGTACGCGGATCGTTAACGTGCTCGGTATCTCATTTGGGGCCTGTGTACACAGTCGATTTGTCTTCCATGGACAAGAAGATGTTTGGAAAGGATATTTGTAGGATTCCATACGTGCCCTGTGTGGACAAGATATTTCTTCGTTCGTTGAATCCACGGTGTTAAGGATCCCGATAATAATATTCGGCGGTTCATGAACGTAGGAATCCATTGTTTGCTCGGGAATGGCCTCCGGTTATTTTCCGAATCACGGCGGTAGATTGTTATCGTCGAATTTTCAGGCTGCTCTTATTTATGCTGTTATTTTAGCAACATGGAAGGTAAATATTTGGGCAAGGAGTTAAGTTGTTTGGAAGTCGTGCACCGAGAATTATGGTATTGACTTCTGCGCCAAGATATCCACATCTAAAAACAATGCGAAGCTACTGAAACGATTATAAGCTTTCCTTAACGCGCGATGTTGTTTATTTTACAGCTGCCTCGTTTATGCTCGCGTGTAAATTTTAATCTCACGCCGGATTTATGTTTTCCGCGATTTTTCTATGGATTTACGTCGTTTCATTGTGAAATGTTTCTCCTGTTGCCGCGGCGCTTACAATAACGTTTCTTCTCGTTAATTCTGCGTGAGCTGCGTTGCTTTTCTTTCTGGTTAGGATCGATGTAGACCTCTCGAAATTTACGTTAACATTTACGCGTAATGCTGCGTTTACATTTGAACATCCTCTTCCCCCGTTTTAACGTAATTTAACCGCCCGGTTCGGTGATTTACGCAGGCACCACTGAAAACCGAGATCCAAGCACTTCATTCATTACGCTTCGCGGCAACGCTACAATAATAACAATATTTTTATTATGCGGAAATGCGAGGGACGGAGAGAACGGACGCGTCTTCGCGAGTTGCGAATGAATGTGCGAATAACTTCTTGAAGTAAGATTTAAAAGGTTACGCTTCGCGCATATAAATGTAAAGTTTCATTAACAGGATGTAACGCGGAGGGAGATGAAACTTTTCTGCCTGGAAACTGAATGCTGGAGAACAAAGTATTCACTTTAGGAGGAGACAGTGTGGTTAGTAATGTGTGTGAATGTGGGATATTTGAGAATTATTATGGCAAAAATATGGTGCTTATCGAGTACAATTCCTATTTTCTGTATTAGAATAATTTGATTATGTTCGAAGGAAATTACTTACTAAAATATAACACTGATCCAGTAAAATTCAAAATCGATCTTCAACATCTCCCCCCAAAGAACTAAATCTTCATTCAATTCGAATCTCTGTAAATTTCGAGTGCCATTTATAAATTGAATAAAAATGAGAAAACGTTATATCGTTAAATATAATATAAGGTATAAATAAAGAGAAAACAACAGAAAATATGAAAAATTGGTGATTACCGCTGTCAAAACTAAAGAGTCGCTGACAGCGACGTTAGCACTTTCTGGACAAATTTTCAGCGTCGCTCGCGACGTTGCCACTCTAAGGATTAACCCTTTGCGGACGAAAGTCGACATTTCGGCGACACGAAATTTCTAAATTTGGAAGAGAAAGTCTGAATGATTCAACTACACAAACAGCAAGAAATCAGTACGTAGTTTCCTTCTTTATAGTAATTAAGCAATTCATAGGTAATTCAGTTTCATCTGCTGAAGCTTTTGTTGTTAATGTGTAATATAGGCCAATGGACCAAAGAAGATGTTAATTTTATCTATCTGGTTTGTAAGACCAGATATTTTTTGTAACTTGGTTACACTGGCGTACTAAGTTTTAAATAATTGACAAGGCTTGGCTTGATTTATCGGACTGTGTCCCTTTATTTTCTCGTTGACAACACTTGTCCTAATACTATGACGATACTGTGATATCGCTGTCTTGATAAACTCTGGCTAATTTGTACAATCGAGCGTGTCTTATACTAATTGTGGAGACGACGGTTGTACTGTTTCATGTGCATGTTGAAAGTGGGAAATATTTTCGCCCAATGAAGTTGTTGGGGGTTGAATCTGCTGCCTTGTGGTCACGCCTTGTAGGGTAAGTCGGACAAGTCAAGTCAGGTATCGTCAGTAGGAGTGAGGAGTGCCGTTAGGGTGTCGTGAAGCTAAGCCGTCCTTTGTGCATTAAAAATATCTTAATTTGTTTTTTATGTGTCGAATGGTTAGGGTTTTATTTAATGTGCCCTTTTCCTCTATCGTTGTAAAAACTAAATGTTCCTTAACTATAGAAATGCAAACGGGACGGCGAGGGTTATTGCTTAATTGCATGTACTCTTAACATTTCTATATTTCAAAAAATCTTCCGCAAAATGTACATTTAAACTTCGACCGATACATCGACACACGACTGCCAACGATTAATCTCGCAAAGATTCTCTAATTCCATCCCAAGATCTATGGCTATCGGTAACACCTTCCGATGAAATCTCGCGAGCGAAGACGCCGCGCAAAGGAGACCTCGCCTGCGAAGCTAACCAAATAAGGAAGCTCCGCCGGAAACAGTAACGATTCCCTGATAACCCTTCTATTTCATTTACGCCCGTCATTGGAACGACTCACGGCGGCACGGGGCGGAAACAGGCAACATACTGAAGCCGGCGCGGCGTCCGCGCTGTCGTTGTCACCGCCGCGGGTAATTTCTCGGTGAAATAGAAGTTTACGGAAAGGTTGACGCGCGGGATGCAAAAGTTTTCTCATGAACGAAGATAACAGTGCCATGATTGCGACCAGTCGTGGCGGTGTACACGTCGCCCGAGGAGAATTTCGGATTGGAAGGTCGTAAAAGTCCCGTAAACGTTGAATTTCGGGGCCGGCGACATTATTCGTATTCCGGTCGCCGCGGCCGTTCCCGCCGGAACTTTTAACCGGGACACTCGAAATCGCGGCGCGAGGATCGCGAACGATTTATCCGCGCGGCCGGTTTTATGCGAACTCGCTAACAGATATGACTTCAACCACCGAACCGATCGGCTAAAATCAAAGCGCAGAAAGATTCGTTCGACCATCGGAGTCTACAGACTCTTTCCATTTCCGGGAAACTGCTTTGATCAACTCCGTTATTATATCTGGCGACAGGGGTCACATATT